CACACTCCCCGATTTGCTATTTTCCTATCACAAGCAACACTGCAACATCAAACTTTTTAGATTATTTGCTTGTGACAAATTCTCTGGGCCGTCTCAAAATGCAAGGCCATTTTCATTGTCCTTGAAAGGCATTGGCAAGTTGCTTTCTAAACACCTGGCACGATTTAGCGGCGCAGTGAGACGGCATCAGGCTGGATTCTTGCTTCCGTCCCTAGCGGAACAATCAGCACAGAGGGCGTATACAGGGCGACGGACACGCAGACTGACACGGGATTCATTTGGAAATGGCCCTGCAAGTTCAGCGGCGCTGTAGGCAGAGGCTAAGCCAGAGTTCTGTCTGGATACTCCGAGTTTTCTCTCAAAAGAAGAGTTCAGATATTGGCATAATCTCCAAAGAATGTCAAAGCTGTAAGTGTCTAACTTTGAGGCAAAGGCTAAGCCTTTACTTCAGCCTTTGAGAAGCCCTGCTCTAGTATGTTTTAGAAAAGTTGGAAATATGGTCTTAAGTTTCCCTAAGAATTACAGCCTCCATGAAATCGATTTAATTGAATTCGGAAAAATGCATCACGCTGATTTTAGGTATACTTCTGGAAAGGAGGCAGGAGGGAAGGAGGAGGTCAGTTTTCTCTTCAGCAAAGATTCATGAGAGCTTTCAGGAACAAGCTAACCTTTGGCCAGCAGCGCCAAGACCCAGTTTGGACCATGGCCTATCTTTGCAATGGCTCATTTTTTTTTTTTCATGCAAAACATTATGCAGTATAACAAAGGCTTTCTTACAACTTATGAGTTTGTTGACAAAAGTCTTACTAGAAGAATGAAAATAAGTTTGACGGGTAAATTGTTTAAAAATAAGCCTGAAATGCGATGTCTAGAATTCCTGGGACGTCAAACATACTTCACGTGAAAGTTTTGGTTTAGAAACCTGCAAGCGCCTGTTGCTCTCATTAGCAGCTTTTTGTAGCTCTGCCTGACTCTGAGGGCAGCCCAGACCCAGCCTCCACTGGGGAGGAGATTCTGCCACCTTCTCTGGCTTCCTGACCACTGAGGACTGCCCAGATCCTGCTGTCTGCTCTCTGTTGCTGCTGTCTGGACACTCAGGGCTGTCCAGATGTTGCTATCTGCTACTGCTGCCTGGACAGTATTCAGCTCCCAAAGACTTGGTCCTCTCCTGGGTCTTCCTGATTGGCGCTGCTTACCCTGCCAAGCGCCACCTGTCCCCTGTCTAGCATAACATCTGGAATCCACGCATGGTGTAGGCTTGATCTCCCACCTGGGACCTGTAACCTCTCATTGATCCTTTCACACCCCGGGAAGCAGGGCTGGTGACCGTAGAGCTTGGGTTGCCCCTGGATGGTGGCTGCAAAGCAGTCTGATTCCACTGGGGAGAAGAGCCCAGGCCTGTGGTTGTGGCCCTGGCGTTGTGGCCCTGGTGTTGTGGCCTTGGTGTTGTGGCTCTAGTGTTGTGGCCCTGTGAGCCCCTGCTGCCGCAGGATGCTTCCAGAAAGCCACTTAGTGCTGTCACTTTGTTGATTTTTACTATTTATCCATGAAATACTTGGAGCAGCGACCATGTGGGGGCCCAAGGCAAAGGCAGACCTTTGCTTTCCAGCCCCATGGCAGCCATACAGCCCCAGACATGGCCCTGGATGCCACGTGCCAGTGACCCAGGCCACCAAACTCTTTTTCTTCACTCTGAAGAAATCTAAGAGTGTTTCGAAAACTCTTTGAAATGGAAAATGGACTAGGGCATTTTGATAAATGTTTTTTTTAAAAAAAGAATTATTATGTCATGGAATATGTTCTTGTTGGAATCAGAGGTGGAATCCCCCAAATCTGCTGCTCTGGACTTTGGCCTCTGCCCCCAGGAGCCGGCAATGCAAGCAGAGGCATTCCTTGACATCCTCCACCTCAGGGCAGCTCTGCTGAGGAGGAGCCGACTGCGGTCAGATCTTCTCAGCAGAATGGCCTCAGCCAAGGAGGCTTAGGGGACTGAGAACCAAAGCCCATGTCCACGGCCAGGAGCCGTGGCACACGTGCTGTGGGGGGCTGTTCCTGTCACTGAATGCTCTGAAGGGTTCCCCGTTACTGGGCCAGAGCGACTTGGCACTGTCTTCCCCTAAGAAAAATCTCTCACTCCTCCTGTGGGTTGCCTCGCCCCTCCGTTTGCTTCCCCTGGAGAGGACACCGAAGCTGCAGCCATCTGGCTTTTCCGTGAGTTTCATACTGTGTGGCTTTCGTGTACACACACGTGTCCCATGAGGCTGTGGCCTTCGCTCCTGCTGATGGGTCTCCTGTCAGCTCACTTCAGTAGACCCAACACTGAGCCTGCCGAGGGGGAGTCTGGGCTTCCTCGACGTTAGGCTATTAAATGAAGTTCTGAATATAGCTCATCTTCAAAAATAAAATCAAATCATGCTTTCAGGCATGGACGTGATACTCTCATCAGAGTGCTGGAGATGGACGTGCCGTGAACTCGTGGAGCGCGTGAAGAGCGCAGACACTTTGCGACTTCTCCCTCCCAGAGGCACAGTGAGGGCCAAGTGAGTCCAAACTTGTGAGACTCACTGTTTGGGGACAGTGAGGCGCAACACACGGCGTCAGCGCAGCCCTGGGCCCCAAGTCCGCCTTCGCACTGCCTGCAACCCTGCAAGGGCCCAGGCTGTCTTCGCATCTTTGCATACGCATGATCCGGCCCTCCTAGAAAGGTTCACCCTGCAGGGCCCGGGGGCCGGGAGAGGCTGAGCGGAGCCCCGTAGGCTGGCCACACGTGTGGCCTCCGTGAGCGTAGTATGGTTGCCGACGGTAGAATGCAGGCTTCTTTTCCATTTCTATTTGTTTTAGGCTGTGTCCTAGATCTGCCCGAGAGTCCCAGTTGGCCTTGCCAGGGCTTACGCTGTCTTTCATCATTTAAGCAAGCCCCAGGTTCCTGTCATTCAAATGAGAAGAGGCCACCTGCTGTCACCCTAAGGTGAGAGAACGGAAGTGGGGAGGCCACGCTCTGCTCCCTGTCTCTGCGGTCCCCTGCAGCGGCAGGTGTGCTGCACACCCTGGCTGCTCCTGCACAGCTGCCCCCTCCTCACACCTGCTCACCACAGGTGCCCGGATCTCCTGGTATGGATCTCGCAGAAGACCCGGATTCTAGGCGTGCGGAGAAACGAGCTTTAACTTGGAGTGGAGCTGCTGACTGGCTCAGGGGAAGCCAGACGCCAAGCTTTTGAACGCTGAACTATAAGCAGGCCGAATGCCATCTACTCTGCTTTTCAAGTCTGTTGCTAGGAGCCTTTCAGTACAGTTTTTGAGGGAAGGATTATGAATCGATCGGGTTGTACCTATTGGGTACAAAATAAAGGCTCATAAAATAAGTACATACATGCTAATTTAGTGTGAAAACAGATCTGGTAGAAGCCAGCCAACGTGTGAGGCAAGGATTTTGCTGTGGTGGTCTTTTAAGTCTCCTTATTATTTGGCTGAAGCAACTTCAATTAACATATATGATCAGCAACAAACTATGGATTTTAGGAGCAGGCTGCCGGTATTCTGGGCTCCATCACTCAGTACTGCTGTGTCCAGACCCTGCTTGACTACACCCTGTCCTCTCGGGAGACACAGAACATTTGGACCAGAACATACCGTCGGCAGCAATGGACAGATCGCTGTCTCCTCTCTAGTGACAGTAAAAACACCACCTCTGCAGCTTTCGTATTTTTAAGTCGGTTGAACCAGATTCTCCTGGAGCAATTCTGTCACTGGTGAGCTTTAGGCAGCCACGTAGGTCTCTCCAGCTCTTAATTAACAGAATGTGTTTTAATTCAATGAAGCGGGCATTGGGTGTGTGCTACTGACTGAGGCCTTCCTAGCTAGTACTAGCAGGCTCCTCACAGGACAGGGTCTATGTAGTACTAAGCCTCAGTACCGACCCTTAAAGAAAAGGCATCTTTATAGCAAAAGGAAAGGAAATAAAAGTAGCAGCCAGCGAGTTATATGTCCTTTAGGAAGGACAGGAAGAGCAAGCTTTTTATGGGTCTGCAGATGGGATGGCCCAAAGACCAAGTCCTTCCTTCGCAAGGACAGAGGCCCTGGCCCGGCCCTTAGAGACCCGTGCCGACTCCAACAGCACTCAGCACCCTTGTGCGTGATAGCAGGGAGTTGAGGTCTTCTTCCTGAGCCTAATCCCAGAACACAGAGGCGAAGCTTTCTCTGTGAGTCATGGCAGGGCTGTTTCACGGTTGTTCTCACTCACAATTCCCAGTCTGCTCCGGTTCCTTTTTCTTTCTTTTTTTAACCTGGATTTAGTTTCTTCCTCTGAGTTCCCGAGTGTGTCAGACAACAAAATGATCACCTCCTGAGGGTTGGACATTTCTTTTTCTCCTAATACTGTTCATGAACATATTGCAAACACAGAAAGTTAATTCTCTTTAAATTGGTTTTCGGTATAGAACTTCTATCAGTGCTTTTAATATCTTTATACATGAGCCCACAGTCTTAATGTCATTGAAATCCTAGAGTAAATAAGTTTTCCCAGATGATCAAGTACTGATATCAGCTTGACTCTGTTCTTCTTTTAAAACATCAACATCACTTAATATATTTGGGCACAGTCACAGTGTCTAAATTAATACTCTCTGTGCATAGGAGATTTTTTTTTTCATTTTGAAATAAGATTGAGAAAGTTCTGAGTACTCTGAAGGCGTTATTGGAACTGTTCTGTAAATGTGCAAAGCCTGAGGACTTCATCTTTCAATTATACATGATATGCAACGCTTGTTCCCGACACCTGCAGAGAAATTCCCGTACGCAGAAAGAAACAGCGCTTTCATCTTATTAGATTAGTGTGGTTTCAGTTTCACATCATCTTCGGTAGCTCGGCTCATAGCATTACAAGTTTATTGCTCGTCCTTGTCTGTACTAAAAGTCGAAACCTCAAGTCATTTTCTGCTTTATTGACTTGCAGGAGAAAAAAAAAATCTGAAATTATCCTGGTCATTAAAGAGAGTACTTACAATTTTTTTGCCTTCTATTAGCACTTCAGAAAAATTGGTCTCGACGTCCCGCAGTATCACAGATCCGTTCCGTTCTCTGTAGATGAATTCTTTATCTATAAGAGAGGAAAAAAGAAGACGGGGCTATCAGCAACTCAGCTTGGCTTTTGGTGGACACGTACGCAGGATGTCTTGGAAGGTTCTCAAAAGAAGATCTTTGGCTTTTTCTCCAAGGTTCCTCTAAAGATGGAGAGTCCAACCCCACATCCCATAGTCTCACGGCTGCTTCTGAGCCACGCTCACTGCTCCACACCTGACCGAAGGCAGGGCCTGGACACGCACAACCCTTGGGATAGTGTGGGCATTTCTCGGGTGAGACACATGGGAAGACGCTCAGAGCCTGTGAGGAAGTGACCTGCTATGTTAGGTGAAGGGGCTGGGAGGGAAGGGACTCGAGTCCTGCATGTGACATGGGTGGGGGTGCCTGCAGCCCCCCAGCCAGAGGCCTCTCCTAAACCCACAGTGCCAGCTCTCATTTGTCCACATGGACTTCTGGCTACCCTTGGAGGGTGTGCAATACTCTATCCACCATGCGGTTAGTGACCCTGGTCTTTTGTATATTAGCAATCGAGGTTCCAGTTCTCCCCTTAGAAAATTAATAAGTCATATTCTCAGTAGTATGAAAATGAAAGGGTATACTTTTTGGAAGTGGGGTTGTCAGAGGGAAGGCAGGCCTGTTACAGAGATAACAAAAAACACATCTTTCCAAGAAAAGGAGGCATTTGGGTGGAAAAGTTGTTTCACTCTAAATTGGTGATAGTTGAAAGAGCTGCTACAGCCTGGATTCATTCAAAGCACAGTTATTGTCCTCCAAGTATGCCTGGGTTGTACGGGGAAAGGTGGAGCTCACTCACAGTGGGAAATTTCAGTCATTTGCACAGTTCTAGGTTAATCCATTTTGTGCATTAATGTCGATTATGTGTGAACGTTTAGCACTAAAGTTAGAGAGAGACATTCGGAGGAAGCGGCTGCTGTTCATATGCTCAGCGATCCTTCTTGTGCTGAGAAGGCATGTCAGGTTTTCATTTATTCCCACTTTGCAAACAACCAAAGTGTTTAGCCATTTTGGTGGCATGAACTTTATGCTCCAAATTATAAAGCCTGTTTTTGGGAAAGCCCTGGAAGGTGGTTTGTAAGTTCCGGAGGAAAGCTGCCGAGAAGGAAGCCTGTGAATTAGTTCCATCATCACTCCATCTCCATTTGCTCACCGGCTTTTACACTAAGTCAGTTTCAAAAAACCGAGTCCTTGTAAGTGAATGAGGATTTCCTACCACCAGTTCCCCTGAGAAGTCCTACATTTGGCTTGAAGATATCCTTCACCATATGTGTCACCCCAGAATACCATGATGATTAAAAACAGTTTTATAATATTTGATGCCCAAGGAATGTGTTTCTGTCAGGGAGCAAAACTGATGAAACAGCGTAAGCAACAGAACACAAGGTTTCTGTTTTGTCTTTTCATCCATCCTGTGGGCTTCCCTTCCAAAGTTATTATCCTGATTTTCATTACGTATCCTTGAATAATGTGTTATTTAGTTTTACTTGCTGTGTGTGTGTGTGTGTGTGTGTGTGTGTGTGTGTGTGTGTGGTGCAGGGATGGAGCCCCGAGCCTTATACACACTGGGCAACTGCTGAACCGCTGAGCTACACCTCGGCCCCAGCTCCGTCTGGACTGCAGCTTCATGACCTGCATCGCTCAGCAGTCCCTGCGATGTGCCCAAGATTATCCTGTGCACAGAGACACACGGCTCCAGGGTGTGGATGTGGCCGTGATGTTGGTCGTCACTAGTGCTGTTGTTATTGCTATAAAGGCTTCTGCCATGAACGTTTTCTCATATCATATTAAGTGAAACGTACAAGTGCTTTTCTCACAGGCGTGTGCAGGACTGGCAGGGCCAGGTCCCAGGTGGCATGCACACCCACAGCTATGGTGGCCTCACTGGCTTCAGGGGCACACAAGGTTTCTAGAATTCACGTCCTCTGCAAAAGCATTCATGTTATCTTTCTAAATTTATTCCAATAAAGTGGCTGAAGAACACTGCCTTTCCAATTTACATTTATGTCATCTGATCATGAGTGATGTTGAGTCCACACTGAAATCAGCTTTTATGAACTGGCTTGCTACCTGGAGGGCTTCTCCGTCTTGGAAAGGATGTCATTCTTTGGAATTTTGTTGTTCTTTATCTGTCAGATTCAGCCTAAATTTTCCTGCAGAGCCACTGATTCGTTGAGTGCCGTCATTCCTCTTGTAAGTCTTTTCTGCTCTCTAGATTCAGGTAGCCATTTGCTTGTGGTGTTGTTTTTGTTCTTACTAGTACCCGCGTGCGGTACCCAATGATGACGTTAGTTGACTTTCAGTCTTACGCACTTATTTGCCATTTTAATTTATTTTGTGAAATTCCTGGCTTACTTGTTTGCCTATTTTTTTTTGTGTTAGATTCTATTTAATCTTGCTGATGTTTAGGGATTTTTAAACATCCTAAATGAAATTTTTAGCAGTTTTATGTGTTGAAAATGCCTTTTCTTAGTTGAAGCTTTCATTTGTACTGTATACTGTTTCTTTAAAAATGTCTATCTTTCTTTTCTTTTTCTTTTCTTTCTTTTTTTTTTTTTTTTTTTTTGGTGGAACTGGCGATTGAACTTGGGCCCTTGCACTTTCCAGGGAAGCACTTACTCTGCTGAGCCATCTCCCCAGCCCTTGTTTCTTTAAAAATTTCTACACTTGCAATTTATTGCTTCCCGCAATTGAAATTTTTGTTCCATTTTACATGTCTTTTATTTATTTTTTTTGCGGAACCGGGGATTGAACTCAGGCCCTTGCGCTTGCCACGGAAGCGCTTATTCCACTGAGCCATCTCCTCAGCCCTTACACGTCTTTTATATTGCCTATCACTTAACATATTAATCTTATATCAATCAAAATATGTAAGATGTTAATATTATACTATTTACACTAGGATTTTAAGTCTTCACTCCTGAATGTGGAATGTAATGTTTTGTAAGCCATGTTTATTACGAAGTGCATTGTGACTGTCAATGTCGTTGTCCCTCGAAGTGAGTCTGATACTTCTTGATTCCTTCTTCTTATGCATTAGCATGTGTTTTTCTTTCAGTTTGAAGAGTCCTCCTCTCTCTTTCATTTCTTGTAGGGCAGATCTGGTCGCGATAAACTCCCTGCGTTTGTTCGTCTGGGAATGAATGCACACTAGCTCTTCTGTTCACTTTAAGCTACTAATGAAGTTTTCCACTTTCCCACTTAATTTATTATACTTTTGCAGCTATGCTTTCTCTCAGTTTGGAAGGACAGCTTTACTGGCCACAGTGCTCTTGGCGGGCAGGGTTTCACTCTGGGCCTAGGTCCCCCCCCCCCCCCCGCCTCTTGGCCGTCAGCGCTCCTGTGGAGGTGCGTGCTGTCAGGCGAGCAAGGATCCCTGTATGCACAATTTGTTCCTTCTCACTTCCTGATGTATATCGTGTTATGCAGTCCAAGTTTCAAACCCGTGTGTTCTGACGATCAGGCTCATCTTGTGCAGAGCCGCACTGTGAAATCTGTATACTTTTACAATAGGACCTGCCATCCGGAAGGCTTCCCGGTCTCGGGAGAGGCTTGGCAGTCTTTGGAATTTTGTTGTCTTTTATGTATGTTAGATTCAGCTTACATTCAAAAGAATACTGGAAAATCAAATGAGAGTACATTTTAAATTTTTATGAATTAAGGATAGGGTCTACAGTGTACAGGTCTCACTACACAGATTGGACTCGAGTCCTCCTGTTTAGAGCCTCCCGAGCGCTGGGATTACAGGCATGCACCACCACACCCAGTCTCAAATACTGTCTCAACCCACCCCGGAGGTGGGGCTGGCACAGCAGGCCCGGGATTGAACGCCAGCCGCTGTGCTCTGCCGAAGCAGGTGTTTTAATCTGCTGAGCTATCTGGCTGGCCCCCAAGAGTACAAACTACCAGCTGACTAGCGAGTGATGTAGTAAAGGGCGTGGAAGACCTGCCTGTCCACAGCTGTCTGCTGTCTTCTCCACCATGGCCCAGGGAACAAGGGACACTCCACAACGTGGCTGGCCTGGCCTCCTGAAACAACTGGGGTGGCAAGGAGTTGCTTCCATTAATAGGAACTTAAGAGACAGGACTGAGTATAATAGGAGTTTTTAACTGGCTGTAGAACTATAATATTTTGAGAATGAGTGAGGAAATGGTAATATAGCCCAGCAATTCGGTATTTGAGGTTAGAGTTTTTGGTAGCCATGATAATGTTCCTATAGACCTATGGGAGGACAGGCTTTAGAGATGTATGCTTTAGTGTTCAGAGATGAAGGAAAATAATGTAGTTTATTGTTCTTTTTATTTTTTAAGAAGCATAAAAAATAGTAATAAAAAACCCACTAGAAATGATCAGAACTTCACTGAACAAAATGATAGGACTTCAACAGTGGCTGTTAGTTACACTGCTCACGGGTGTCTTCAAATTAGCTGTTCAGGTAACCAGACGGAAGCATGCAACATTGGTCCAAAAAATGAAAAAGAAAAAAGTCAAGTACTAACTGTGGCTCTCAACAGACCAGTAGAAATCAGCAGTAGAATTGTCTAAGCTATGTGTGCATTTCTTCCTCTCTTCCTCCTCCTCTCTTCTCTCCTGTCTCTCATCCCCGTTGTTCCTTCCCATCTATTCTACTTTTCACAGTTTATTTATCTTTTAGGTTCCTATGTTAGGTTCTTATATTATGACGCTCACCAACCAAGGAATGGATAAAAATTTGTATTTTTATACAAGGGAGTATTAACTATAAAGAAAGATAAACTCAAGGCTTTTATAGACCATATTCATTAGTGAAATAAGTCAGACCTTAATGTGTAACAATTTATATTGGATTAAAAAAATGTATTTGGTACAGGGCTCATCCTCCTGTTTTCAGCTTCCCCAGCCCTGGGATTATAGGCGTGCACAACCACACCTAGTCTCTGGGGCCTGCTCAGCAAGCCCTGCGGGTGGCATGTGGTGCTGAGGATTGAACCCCAGTTCCCACACTTGCCAAGCAGGCGCTT